TTTCTATTTTTTTATTATTAGTTATACAAAAACAAATAAATATGATTTACTGTGTATTAAATGAACATTTTAAAACTTAAATGTTTTTAAAAATAGTTTTGCCTATGTGGACACTCTAGATGGAGAGAAAACTCTCTAATTATATATATAACTAGGGTTGGCCTCGCGCGTTACGCGACTTTGGTTTCTTTTGATTTTCTTGTGTTAATTTCCTATGTTTTGTACGTATATCATGTATAGCGTGTATTGGTAAGTTGTATATAAGTATCTTTTACATTCATTAACACATTCTAATGTCATATGTTCAATTATCAACTTGGGTGTGAAAATGTGTTTTTTTTTAAATCGTTTCTTTCAATTTGGCATTGATTTTAATTAAATATTTTTTAGGTTTTGAAAAATTATTATAAAATTTTTTTATTGGAATATAGCTCCATCGAGTCTTCATACATATTCTAATTATAATCGTGTAACACATAGATCAATAATTTTCTTTTGTCATTTTTTCCGTAAAAACTAATATAGTTATAGAAAGTTAATTTATACATAATCTATTTTTTACGTTTTTAAAAACAAAAAAAAAATTTCTAGATTTTTTGGGTTAAAAGCATTGGTTCAAATAGTAAATTATTAAATATGTATTTTTGGATCATGCTATAGAACTGCGTACATTTTTATATAAATATCATATATTATTGTTATACAATTTATGAATAATGTGACGATTAATATTTTACTTTATATGTATCAAAACTTAAGATTTTAAATTATGGTACTATAACGTTTTTAATCTTTTTCATTTATACTTCCAAAAAACTCAATATAACATTTTGAATAAAATCTTATATTTCAAATTTCACCTTATTTCTCATCTTTAGTGAGATTGTTAAATATTCTTTAGTCAAATCATCTTTCTCTTTAAACCTTCAACTTCCTAATAATCGGTTGAAACTCAATTATGGTGTTTCAATAAATAAAATCATTTAATCTTTTTTTCTGTTATCTCATATCGTTCATTTACATTTTTGTTCATCGCTCTTATATATAAACTCATAATATTTTGATTAATTTCTAATGAACTACAATATAAATGAAGTATATTCATTATTGTATTTTCTATTTAGAAAATAAAATGCTCAAATAATCCTAAAATATGGTTCGTGTGATACATGAGTTTTACAATTTTATTAMAMWWAAAGAMAAAAATTGATTTAACCATTTACAATTTTGCTACTTTTAACCATTTATTTACTTATTTTTAGTAGAATATAATTCGCGCGATGTGCGATTTTTTATTTACACCAATTTATACCTCTGATATTTTTAAAATATTGGTATTATAGTACTTTAAAATTTTCTTTTATACTTCCATAAAATTCAAATATGACACTATGAACAAAAGTATATATCCTTTTATCCTTAATATGTATAAAATTTTTATCTTATTATCTCATCTTTAGTGAGATGGTTCAATATCGTTTTAGTGATAATATATATTCTTTCCCTGTAAATCAACAGTTTCTTAACAACTGTTTGGCACTCATATTATTTAAGTTTTTTTTCTTTGATGTCGTTTATATTTTTATTCATTTCTTCTATTATTCATTTTACATATTTCCAATATTTAAAATTGAATAAATAAAATATTATCGTTATCATAAGCTCATAATAAAATATATTTATTGTTGTAATTTTATATTTACAACAATAAAATACTCAAATA